ATGCGTACCCGCCCGGGGGGGGGGGGTTCTTTCCCTCGTCAGGCCCTTGGAATCGTCCTAACCTAACCTTCCCCCGTTACGGCGGCCCTGGCCCACACACGGCGTTCCCGGAGCGTCTGTATTCTGCTCGTATCGCGAGCGCTGGAATTAGCCGCCAGATTAAACGCTTCCACACAAAGGAGGCGTCAGGCGCGATAGAGCCGCGAAGCTCTTGACATCCAGGGGCTCGTAGGTGATGTGAGGCTCTTACGAGGGACTCTTTGATGTCTGTAGTAACGGCGGCCATGCGATGAATACTAATGAGCCCGACCACACTGGTCTGTTATTAAAAAGCAGCCCAAGTTCAGGTTTGGATCAACAACGCCTCTGATTCATTAAAAGATGAGCGCTTAATGACTTTTTAATTAATATTGATTCATTCAACTTGACTGGCATGTCCAAAATATGCATGAGGGGATCATCACAATAAATTACCAAAATGAGTTCGGCTGCGTCCAAAATCGCATACTTTCTACCGTATTTTTGTAAGAGTGGCGCGGCCATTTTTTGACACTGCATAAAAAAATTAAAAAGGTAATTGCGATGTTTTATCTCACCATTGAGACTTCTGAGGAAAAAAAGAATTGCGAGATATAATCTCAGAGTTGTGAGATATAAACTCTGAAAGAGTTCGCAATTCTGAGAAAAGTCACTGTTACTTTTTTATTTGAATTCCATGAAACAAACAAACAAAACAGATTTGCAAAATGTATACTTCTAATATCTTGCAGTTGTATTACTTTTTCTCAGAATTGCGAGATTATATTTTGCCGTTCTGACTTATTTTCCTCAGAATTTCGTTTTTTTTATAATGCAATTCTGACTCCTTTCTCAAAATTGCGAGTTTATCATGCAATTCTGATTTTTTTTATATATCTCGTCCTGCCAGACTTTCCTTGTGTATCGTGAAGTATATCTGAGTGAAATGGATTAGCGAAAAAGAACAAATGTAGGGAGGGGCGGAGCTTGGCTCTGTGCATCAGTTGTTGATTGGATGTTGTGATGTGGGCGTGGCTCTCAAAAGTGTATGTAGCCTATATGAGCGTGAGTTTGCAGGGGTGGAGTTTAAGAGCACTTACTATTTCTGATTCATCGCGATGACTACGGTTTTACTGCAAATACTGTAGTGGTTAGTTCAGTGAAATCATGGCGGGTGAAGGATCAGGGTTGGCTGGCTTCATCCCTGCACATCATGCACTGATCTCTCCTGACAGGAAGGTTCTTTGCGCAGTAAAGCACAGCTCCCAGCAGCCACGCGCGTCTCTGACTGCTGATTGACAGCTGTCACTGCTGATCTCACTCAGACGGTGACGTTTCCTGCTGTGAAGATGCAGGCAGAGACCATAACGTGATCTACACACTGGTCATGGATACGGAGAAGGAAACCCCAGCGGCATTTGGCTCCACTGAATCTGAAGACAAATGAGACGCCCTGAGGGACACACTCACACACACACACACACACACAC